CTTTTAAAAAAAAATTAATAAAATGGTAAGAAAGTTATGAATTATTTTTGGATAAATTAAATACATTTAATGAGGATAAACTTGGAAAGCAAATGTTAGCTTGTATAATATATTGATGACATTGTTTTAAGTGTAAGGAGAATGACACATGTCAAGCTAAAAATGGAGAAGGTCCAAAGAAGAAGGTTAGAGAGAAGGTTGCTAGACATGCGTCATTCTCCTTATACTTAAAACAATGTCATTTATATATTATACAATCAAACTTTTGCTTTCCAAGTTTACCCTTATTAAATGTATTCAATTTATCTAGAAAAATTTCACAACTGTCTTACCATCTTATTAAATTTTTTTCACGTTTTTTTTTAATGTCTGCTTTAAAAAAAAAAAAAAAACTTTCCCCCCCCCCCCCCCAACCCCTTTTTTTTTTCAACACAAAGGGTTTAGATAGAAAAAAAATAAAGTCCTTATAACAATACCATCTGGTGTACCTTGACTAGCAAAATATTCATGCATGTCTGAGGTCCACAAATTATAATTTCCCTGTTACATATAGTAGATAAACACCTTAATTAATACAAATATATTAGTAACAAACACAAATAAATCATAATCTTAACTACCATTGGGGTGCTTACGGATGTGAATGACTTTTTTTTTCCCTATCTAAACACAAAGTGTTAAAATAAAAATAAAAATAAAAAAAGGGACATTTCCTCTTTTTTTTTAAAAGCAAAGATTTTCTTTTTTAAAAAAAAAAATTAATAAAATGGTAAGAAAGTTGTGAATTTTTTTTTGGGATAAATTGAATACATTTAATAAGGGTAAACTTGAAAAGCAAAAGTTAGCTTGTATAATATATTAATGACATTGTTTTAAGTGTAAGGGAAATGACACATGTCAAGCAAAAAAAGGAGAATGTCCAAAGGAAAAGATTAGAAAGAAGATTGCTAGCATTCTTCTTTTAATTTTATTAAGCACCAGATAACCACAGATCCGAAAATGCTTGGTGGAAGATCTTTGTCCAAATAAAAGCACATGTAGTAATCTCAGAGTTGAGTTAAACATGATTGCAAAGGTTTCTTTTTTTCTTTTAATCAATGGGGGTTTGGAGGGTTTCCAACTCCAGACCTCTTCAAACATCGGAAAGAGAAATACCACTTAACCAAGAACTAATTGCTCAATGAGTTTTGTGTTGAGTTTGAATAAGCTAATTTATTTACTCATTTATTTTCTTTGTTATGTGTCAACTACTTTTATAACTTTACCAACTAGTAATTCATCTAGTCAAGATGCTAATTATAGAACATTGGGAAAACTATTCAACATACATTAGAAAGGTTAAACCCCCAGTGCACACACTTTTTGAGCATCTACAAATACAATCATGTTCACTATTTTTTAGTCAAAATTTAGCTTAAAACATATAAAAGCTATTTTCGGAGCTCTCTATAAAATTTGAACTTCAATCATACTCCATAGTTTAGAGAGTCATAAATATTATAATTATTTTTTAATTCAATATAATTGGTCCATCTCTATACAAAATAATATAAAAAAAATAGTTTGCATTAATTAAAAGTTTAAAATATGCATAAAACAAAGCAACATTAAATTATAGAGAGCCACCTATGAGTTATTTCTCTCTCCTCAGATTTAGGAGCTTCTCGAGGTCTCCCTATTTTAGAAGGTGGATAGGGAGCATGATTGGAGTTGTATTTTTCCAATTCCTCTCTAAAATTTGTATAAGAAGATGGTTAAGGGAGTCTATTGTGGATGCTCTTAGCAACTGATGAAGAACTTGTAAAGGGAAGGCATACCAAAAAAATATAGTTTTACCAAAAGTCATTGCATGAACATTCCCCGCTTGAAAAATGGTGGTATCTAGTGGCATCTCGAACAACAATGTCCCTCTTCACAATGCTGCTTATGAATTTCAGTACAGTATGACAATCTCCACAGACACGAAGATTTTTCACTATCCGGATAACTGTCCCCGGAACAGCCTTAAGCAGCCCATAAGCCACTGCCAACCTCTCACTATGCCAAAATAACTGCCTTTCCTTCTCTTGGTGCTCCATGTCATGTAAAACAAAGCTACTATCAGGAACATAGCCTCTTCTCCTCATCTCTGCATCTAACTCCTTAAGCAAACTGAACATCTCATCCTTCATAGGATGAGATGTCTCTCCAGCATAAAACACTTGGGTTTCCTTTCCAATGTCAATGCAACTATAACCAGGCTTCTTCTTAAATTCTCTAGCTGCCATCAACTTTCTCAGCTCTGCTACATTTTCCCACATACGAGCACCGGCATAGACATTAGACAATAGTATATAAGTTGAAGGGTCTTCTGGTTTTAAACTTAAAAGATGATCAGCAACCCTGATTCCCATTTGGGTATCCCCATGATGCTTGCAAGCACTTAATAAAGCTGCCCAAGTGGGTTCATCTGGGTCAAAGGGCATTGAATCAATAACATTTGAAGCTTCACCAAGGTGTCCAGACCGACTAAGAAGATCCAAAAAGCATGTGTAGTGCTGCAGAGAGGGGCTAATTCCGTAATCCTCAATCATGGATCTGAAAAGAGCACGTCCTTTGCTAACTAAACCAACATGGCTACATGCATAAATCAATCCAACAAAGGTAACTTCATTTGGCTTTATTCCAACTGCAACCATTTCATCATATAAACTCAATGCTTTCTCAGCTTGCCCATGCTGAGCCGCCCCAACAATTATAGAAGTCCAAGAAACTACATCTCTTCGATGCATTCGACCAAAAATATCCTTAGCAGCTAAAATGTCACTGCATTTCGCATACATATCAACTAGTGCATTACTGATAAACAAGCAAGACTCATAGCCAAGACGTATAACTAGACTGTGAACCTGCTTTCCAGGCTCCAATACTGCCAAATTAGCACAAGCTCCAACAATGCTGGAGAGAACTAATGGGTCTACTATATGAATTCCCTCTCTTCTCATATCAATAAATAAATAAAATGCATCAACACCATGTCCACTTTGTACCAACCCTGATATCAACGCAGTCCAAGAAAACAAGTTCTTAACCGGTAACCTCTCAAACATTTCAAAAGCTTCTGATTTCTTTCCACTTCTGGCATACCCTGAAATCATAGCAGTCCAAGAAATCACACTTTTGGACAAAATTGAATCAAAAGCTGCACGAGCATTATCAAGTAATCCACATTTCGCATACATATCAACCAGAGACGACTTAACGACATCATCATCACAAAACGGGGACAAAAAAAAGCGGGCATGCACTTGCTTGGCTTGTCTAACAGCCCCTAAGCTAGAGCAGGCCTTGACAACGCTGGCAAACACAAAATGGTCCGGCTGCAAACCATCAGACTCAAACATAGCGGGGAACATGGAGAGAGTTCGGTGGGGCATGTTGGCTTGGTTGTGGGCAGTGAGAATTGAAGCCCACGAGACATGGTCTCTGTGAGGCATTTCGTCGAACAGGTGGAGCGCGTCTTCGACTAGACCGCATTTGCCGTACGTATCCAAGAGGGTGTTGGGTACAGGAACGCATAGATGCAGGGCTGTTTTGATGAGTTGAGCGTGGAGTCTTTTGGCGGTAGAAGGCGTCCGGCGTCTGGCACAGAGTTGCAGTTGGTGTAGAAAGCGAGACGCTGGCATTCATGACCTTCACTGTATAAAAGCCCACCCGTTGGTCAGACTTTTATTGCCAAAGTTTAAATATTGAATAATGCTACTCTTACCACATTTATATATCACATCTTTATACCATTTTATGTGGCAGTTGAGGTGGACAATCACATCAATTAAAATTATTGAATATTTTCTTTTCTTTTATAATTTATTCCAATATTTATTTTTCTAACTTCCTTAATTAAAATATGCTTCATTGATTTAATTGATGTGATATATAATATGGATATGCCACATCATATGGCCCTATCTAAACACAAAGTGTTAAAATAAAAATAAAAATAAAAAAAGGGACATTTCCTCTTTTTTTTTAAAAGCAAAGATTTTCTTTTTTAAAAAAAAAAATTAATAAAATGGTAAGAAAGTTGTGAATTTTTTTTTGGGATAAATTGAATACATTTAATAAGGGTAAACTTGAAAAGCAAAAGTTAGCTTGTATAATATATTAATGACATTGTTTTAAGTGTAAGGGAAATGACACATGTCAAGCAAAAAAAGGAGAATGTCCAAAGGAAAAGATTAGAAAGAAGATTGCTAGCATTCTTCTTTTAATTTTATTAAGCACCAGATAACCACAGATCCGAAAATGCTTGGTGGAAGATCTTTGTCCAAATAAAAGCACATGTAGTAATCTCAGAGTTGAGTTAAACATGATTGCAAAGGTTTCTTTTTTTCTTTTAATCAATGGGGGTTTGGAGGGTTTCCAACTCCAGACCTCTTCAAACATCGGAAAGAGAAATACCACTTAACCAAGAACTAATTGCTCAATGAGTTTTGTGTTGAGTTTGAATAAGCTAATTTATTTACTCATTTATTTTCTTTGTTATGTGTCAACTACTTTTATAACTTTACCAACTAGTAATTCATCTAGTCAAGATGCTAATTATAGAACATTGGGAAAACTATTCAACATACATTAGAAAGGTTAAACCCCCAGTGCACACACTTTTTGAGCATCTACAAATACAATCATGTTCACTATTTTTTAGTCAAAATTTAGCTTAAAACATATAAAAGCTATTTTCGGAGCTCTCTATAAAATTTGAACTTCAATCATACTCCATAGTTTAGAGAGTCATAAATATTATAATTATTTTTTAATTCAATATAATTGGTCCATCTCTATACAAAATAATATAAAAAAAATAGTTTGCATTAATTAAAAGTTTAAAATATGCATAAAACAAAGCAACATTAAATTATAGAGAGCCACCTATGAGTTATTTCTCTCTCCTCAGATTTAGGAGCTTCTCGAGGTCTCCCTATTTTAGAAGGTGGATAGGGAGCATGATTGGAGTTGTATTTTTCCAATTCCTCTCTAAAATTTGTATAAGAAGATGGTTAAGGGAGTCTATTGTGGATGCTCTTAGCAACTGATGAAGAACTTGTAAAGGGAAGGCATACCAAAAAAATATAGTTTTACCAAAAGTCATTGCATGAACATTCCCCGCTTGAAAAATGGTGGTATCTAGTGGCATCTCGAACAACAATGTCCCTCTTCACAATGCTGCTTATGAATTTCAGTACAGTATGACAATCTCCACAGACACGAAGATTTTTCACTATCCGGATAACTGTCCCCGGAACAGCCTTAAGCAGCCCATAAGCCACTGCCAACCTCTCACTATGCCAAAATAACTGCCTTTCCTTCTCTTGGTGCTCCATGTCATGTAAAACAAAGCTACTATCAGGAACATAGCCTCTTCTCCTCATCTCTGCATCTAACTCCTTAAGCAAACTGAACATCTCATCCTTCATAGGATGAGATGTCTCTCCAGCATAAAACACTTGGGTTTCCTTTCCAATGTCAATGCAACTATAACCAGGCTTCTTCTTAAATTCTCTAGCTGCCATCAACTTTCTCAGCTCTGCTACATTTTCCCACATACGAGCACCGGCATAGACATTAGACAATAGTATATAAGTTGAAGGGTCTTCTGGTTTTAAACTTAAAAGATGATCAGCAACCCTGATTCCCATTTGGGTATCCCCATGATGCTTGCAAGCACTTAATAAAGCTGCCCAAGTGGGTTCATCTGGGTCAAAGGGCATTGAATCAATAACATTTGAAGCTTCACCAAGGTGTCCAGACCGACTAAGAAGATCCAAAAAGCATGTGTAGTGCTGCAGAGAGGGGCTAATTCCGTAATCCTCAATCATGGATCTGAAAAGAGCACGTCCTTTGCTAACTAAACCAACATGGCTACATGCATAAATCAATCCAACAAAGGTAACTTCATTTGGCTTTATTCCAACTGCAACCATTTCATCATATAAACTCAATGCTTTCTCAGCTTGCCCATGCTGAGCCGCCCCAACAATTATAGAAGTCCAAGAAACTACATCTCTTCGATGCATTCGACCAAAAATATCCTTAGCAGCTAAAATGTCACTGCATTTCGCATACATATCAACTAGTGCATTACTGATAAACAAGCAAGACTCATAGCCAAGACGTATAACTAGACTGTGAACCTGCTTTCCAGGCTCCAATACTGCCAAATTAGCACAAGCTCCAACAATGCTGGAGAGAACTAATGGGTCTACTATATGAATTCCCTCTCTTCTCATATCAATAAATAAATAAAATGCATCAACACCATGTCCACTTTGTACCAACCCTGATATCAACGCAGTCCAAGAAAACAAGTTCTTAACCGGTAACCTCTCAAACATTTCAAAAGCTTCTGATTTCTTTCCACTTCTGGCATACCCTGAAATCATAGCAGTCCAAGAAATCACACTTTTGGACAAAATTGAATCAAAAGCTGCACGAGCATTATCAAGTAATCCACATTTCGCATACATATCAACCAGAGACGACTTAACGACATCATCATCACAAAACGGGGACAAAAAAAAGCGGGCATGCACTTGCTTGGCTTGTCTAACAGCCCCTAAGCTAGAGCAGGCCTTGACAACGCTGGCAAACACAAAATGGTCCGGCTGCAAACCATCAGACTCAAACATAGCGGGGAACATGGAGAGAGTTCGGTGGGGCATGTTGGCTTGGTTGTGGGCAGTGAGAATTGAAGCCCACGAGACATGGTCTCTGTGAGGCATTTCGTCGAACAGGTGGAGCGCGTCTTCGACTAGACCGCATTTGCCGTACGTATCCAAGAGGGTGTTGGGTACAGGAACGCATAGATGCAGGGCTGTTTTGATGAGTTGAGCGTGGAGTCTTTTGGCGGTAGAAGGCGTCCGGCGTCTGGCACAGAGTTGCAGTTGGTGTAGAAAGCGAGACGCTGGCATTCATGACCTTCACTGTATAAAAGCCCACCCGTTGGTCAGACTTTTATTGCCAAAGTTTAAATATTGAATAATGCTACTCTTACCACATTTATATATCACATCTTTATACCATTTTATGTGGCAGTTGAGGTGGACAATCACATCAATTAAAATTATTGAATATTTTCTTTTCTTTTATAATTTATTCCAATATTTATTTTTCTAACTTCCTTAATTAAAATATGCTTCATTGATTTAATTGATGTGATATATAATATGGATATGCCACATCATATGGTATAGAAATGTGAGATAAAAATGTGGTAAGTGTAGCATTACTCTTAAATATATATATATATTTAGGGTTTAGTGGTGCACTTGTATTTCTTAGATCCCACTTTTTTCTTCGGGGTGTCTCTATTTCGTAAAAGTTTTTATTTGTTTTTTGATACAAACTTTAAATTATTCAAAATTAAATTTACGGGGAGGGGGACTCGAACTTGAGTACAAGAGGATGGGCTCACTTTTCTGGCCAACTAACCTACCCACATATGCTAACACTTGTATGATTATATGTTGTATGATATACATTTATGATTGTTATATGATTTAATGGAAGCAAAAACTTTAATTAAAAAAGGGCTAATTACATTTTTAGTCACTAGAGTAAGGGTTGAATTTAATTTTGATCACCGAAATTTCAAATTTTCAATTTTGGTCATCATATTTGCAGTTGTTAGCAAATCAGGTCAAATATTTCAATTCCGTCAGTTTTATTTTTTATTAAAATTAAATAAAATTATTTTTATTTTTTAATCCTCTCTCTCTCTCTCTCTATAACCCTTGATAGCCATAACCACCCCACCTCAATCTCTTTACCCACCCTCTTAAATTCAAACTGCTATTGGAGCTTCATGGCTGGGCGATGGCGTAGGGTCCCACAAAAATAAGCATATTAACTGTTGGATCAAACCAACGGTTAAGAGATAGGATCTCACCTAAGGGCCATATGTAAATTCCTCACTATAGAATGACTCTAAGTATGCTAGCCAAAAAAAAGAAAAAAAAACATTTTATGTGTGAAACTAATGCTTTTCAAGCTTTCCTTCTGAACTTTTTTGGGCCTTTTCCTTTATCTTTCAAATAAATGGGCATTTTTTACTTAAACTAACCTACTTACCACCTAAGTTTGAAATTTTTTATTAACATTTTTGTTCAAAATGAGGTAAGTGTTAAAGGACTCATTTTTCATTTTTGCCCAGAAGCCTTCTCTCTCCTCTATCTCCTCCCACCTCCCCCACCTCCTCACAGCCATCACTGCCCACCCCACCACCTCCCATTCCCTAGCTCCTCACGAAGGAGTGTCTTCCATAATCAAAACCGTGATAGAGAATTGTAGAAGTATTAGGGTGTGTCATAGCAAATGCGGAAGGAAAAAATGCAAACAAAGAAGAAGAAAAAAAACTAGTCGGAGAGAGAGAGAGAGAGAGAGAGAGAGAGAGAGAGGGGGAGGTTATGGGTTGCATTGGAGTGGGGTGGGGAGGGGGGGTGGGTGTGGGTTAAGAGTTACGCCATGACCCTACTCTTATATACAATCCAATTAAAGAATGTGAATTATTCGATTTCAGTTCTAAACATAAAAAGTACATAATCGTATTGTACTGAAGTGTCAATTTGTTTATAGTATACAATATCCTTTAACTTCATTCTGTTTTTAGCCAAATGGAAATGTCAGTATTGCTCAAAGAAAGTCGAGAATATCTTTCAAATAACGTTGTTTAAAGAATCCCTCAATTGAAACTCCTTATATATAATTTATTATGACGATACATCTTTCAAATTACACAAGAGTACGTAGCAAGTAAATTTATTAAAAAGCTAGCTAAACGTGAAGTTGAGTATGTTTCATGCTCATGACCAGTGGCGGACCTATTAAGCTGCAATAAGGTGCAGCTATGCACTTCTCCTCACCAGAAAAACCATTGTAGGTACTTCAAATTGCACATCTACTCGGTTCGTGGTGGTGCACTCCAGGTGTTCGACTTAGCCAAAGTCTATTTGCTGCGTTGTGTTGCTGCCTGTGTGCCTAATATTTTTTTTAAAGTCCTGGCCAAAAGGATGTAGTTTTGGGACAGGCAAAAAAAAAAAAAAAAAAAAAAAAAAAAAAAAAGAGGGGGGAGAGAGAGAGAGAGAGAGAGAGAGAGAGAGAGAGGGGTAGGTTATGGGTTGCATTGGAGTGGGATGGGGAGGGTAGGTGGTTGTGGGTTTTGGGTTCGAACAAACCCAGTCGAAGAGAGAGAGAGAGGGGGGAAGAGACAGAAATGGAAAAAAGAGAGAGGAGAGGGGATGGGCACGTAGGTTTTGTTCCTTTTTAATTAATTTTTTTTATATATAATATGATAATTTTTTAAATTAATGAAATTGAATTGAAACATTTGACATGATTGCTAACAGCTGCAAATACGGTGACCAAAATCGAAAAATTGAAATTTCAGTGACCAAAATTAAATTTAACCCTAACCCCAATGACCAAATATGTAATTACCCCATGAAAAAAATTATTGAGGCACATAATGTTTGAGCAAATTTTCGGACGGCGTATATTCACATGCAGATTTTTCGCCTTTCCAGCTTCCTTCTCTCTCTTCTTCCTTGACCCCTACGAAAAAATTTGGAGTAAATAGACCACATCCGAGTGATGTTGACCAAAGGCCCTCCGATGCTTAAGTCAATTGAATATTCTTGAGAAAGATACTGAGATAACTGAAATGATGGAGGTCTTCTCTTAAGGGAAGAACCGGGTGCCTGGAGTCGTGTGTGTGGGTGCCCGGAGCCGTGAGGGGGAGAGAGAGCCAATTGTGGCATGAGAGAAAGAGAGCTTCGATTAGGGTTTAGAATTACCTCTTGTGTGTTGTGTAGCCATGTATTTATAGACTCCTTGTAGACTAGGGTTTGAAGAATAATCCTTATTCGGTTAGGATTATTATTACCCATAAATAAGAGATTGGAATTAATCAAGGAAATTTGATGGAAATCTCATCCTTGATTTGGGGAGATATTCCCATCTTAAATCAAAAATAATTTTCCTAATTAAATAGGATTTAATTAGGATAATCAGTTCACCTAAGGAATATTCATTTTCCATGTGTTGTTCATCTATTGGTTACCGAAATATGTGTTCCCACAGGTAATACACAATGGGACGGGATGATAACAACATATCCAACTCACCCTATTGCTTAATGTCTATTAATTTAGTGTGCATCATTTTTGGAAGAAATTATTTAATGATGTTTTCTTATATTGGAGCTCAACAAATTTGTGGGTAAGCACATTAAACAAACTTGCTTGATTAGAATTACATAAATAAAAAGACTATTTTCTTTTTGGTTATACCCGTCTTTTGAGATAATATACCCTATGAATTTTGTAGTGAGCAAAGAGAGGCTGGAACATTAAGGATACTTTGATGTAGAAAAACAATCGAACATTTAGACCCACAAGAGCATGCAGACCCAAAAAGGTCTAAATAATAAACATTAACAACATAAAGGGGCAAATTATACAATAGATGTGTTAAATGGGTTAGGCTAGCCCAGCACGGCGTGAGCCTAGCCTTTTTAAATAGGGCATGACACGGCCTAAGAATAATTATTAACGAGTCGTGCTAAGCACGACACAAAAGCATGGGGCATGCCGGGATTAGAAAATAAGCCCAATGGACTGAGTCGGCCCAACATGGGTCGTGGCCCACTTCAAGCCCGACTGACCCACTTAACTTCGTTTTTTTTTTTTTTGTCATGGCCCACTTTATATAAACCATCTATTAGCCTCCTTCCTATCTCGATATTTACATATATGGGCTTTGATTTGGTGGCTTCTTCTTCCAACAAATCATATATTTTTATATTGAATAAATACTACAATAAATCCTCAATTTTTTTTTATCTCATATTACATATAAAAAAGGTATGAACGTATTATAATTTTTTTCTTCCATAAATTTAATATGCTAGCATGAGTTTTTTACTTAAACTTTGAGCAGGGATCAAAGATTTTGATAAATGGACTAGTACGACATGACTTGATTGATTAAACAAACTGACCCAACCCAACCCGAATAACATACGTAGAGCCGGCCCTTGGTCAGGGGAACTAGGGCCATCGCCTGGGGTCCACAATTGATTGGGGCACACAAAAAATCATTAGTCCATATATATATATATATGCATATGAAAAAAATAAAATAAAAACTAAAAGTAAAAAGGCATATGTGATATTAGTTGAGAGTTTTATTGGTATTATAAAACAATAATAAAAAGAAGAATAAGCTACAGTAAACCTCCCAACCTATAGAGTCATTTATGAGTTCATACCCAATTTTGGGGATATTTATGAGTACATATTCAAAGTCGCAGAAAACTTACAATTTGCCCCCTCCGTTAGTGAGATCGTCAGAAAATCCGTTATCTGCCTATATGGTATTTATGAGATCCATTTTTTAATTGACGTGGACTTAGGGTGAGAGGAACAATGTCGATGACGCGTGGCAGATTTGGCAGAATCGCTATAGGCGCGTCGGCGATCTCTCCGGCTTCAGGGATGCATCGTCTTAATCAGTTTGTGTAGACCGGAGGCTTGTCGGTACGACGATGTTGGCAGTGTCGCTTGGGGATATCAAAAAAGTCTCGAACCAGGCATGGCAGCAACTGCCAGTTTTCCAGATCGGAGGCTTGTTATTTTATTACGTAGTTTAGACTGGAATGGAGGAGGGATATGGGGAGATGTTGAAGAAGGCGACGAGGGTTTGGTGGTCTTCTTAGTTTTGCTGGATCGGAGCTGTGGTGAGGGTGGGGTCGGAGGTTAGGTTGGAAGGAAGGGGGATATTGGAGAAGATGAGTTTTTTTTTTTTATAAATAATTATTTTTTATTTATTTTATTTCCCACGTGGAAGTCCACGTCATAAAAAAAGGAGTCTTATTTTTGACACGTTAGCATTTAACAGACTCACTAACGATTTGGCTAACGGAGTGAGCAATTTGTAGGTTTTCCATGACGTTGAGTATATACTGGTAAATATCCCTAAAATCGAGTATTTACTCGTAAATGACCCTATAGGTTGGATGATATACTGTAGTTTTGGATGCCATCATATCTAGAAGAAAAGGAAGTCAACATACTTATTGTTTTCCCAAGAAGCAAAACCTCTCCGTCTGCAGCTTTGCCTTGGAATCAATTTTTAATTCTAATTCTCTCATAAACAAGTGTGGAAGGAACAAAACCATACTTTAAGTTGGAAGCTGATTATTCTCTCTGAAATTGGGATATGTTTCTAAATGTAGTGGTTGCTTATAGGATATTACTGACTATACTTGTGACAATGGTATCTGCTGAAAGAAGTTTTTCTAAATTAAAATTATTAAAATCTTATTTGCGGACCACCATGGCTCAAAATAAGCTAAATGGACTAGCTATATTATGCATTGAAAGAGATATATTGGAAAACATTAAATATGATAATATAATTGATGATTTTGCTTCTAAAACTACAACAATAAGACATTTTAAAATGATCTTTTGTGATTAGGATTTCATTGCTATTTTTTTAAGGTGCATAAGAAGGTGAACCATAGGAACATATAAGTTAATTTGTTGTTGATTGTAATGTTTTCAATCGGATACTCTTTTTCCTTCATTTGAGGTTTTGTTTCCATTGGTTTTCCTCAAACAAGGTTTTAATGAGGCCCAAAGTGTTCTATATTATCCGTTGTAAACTCTTATAATTTTAATAAAATTTACTATTTGATAAAAAAATTGTAATCATATTTATTTATTTGTTTATAAAGGGCACATTCTTAAACTTGGGCCCTGGGCCTTAAATCACCCAGGGCCACGTTTGACATCTCTACACACCCAAAGCAGTACAAGTTAACTTCTACTTTTGTTCGATTTTCCTTTCACTTTTTGTGATTGAACTTCAATATGCATCCAAAATTAGGACCCAAAATTTAATCACTAAACTAATTTTTTTTTGTGTAATATGTAACCCAAAAAAAAAAAAGAAAAAAAACTTATTTTAGGCCCGATACTCGAAATATAATTAAAAAGCCCAATATTTTCATGAAGAATTCACTATGATAAATGTGATCCATGCATACTAGCATGAAAAAATAGATACAATTTTGCTATTTCACTTGAACAGATTGTCTATTTGGTCCTTGTATTGAGCCACGATTCTATCCCTTCGAATTTTCATGGTTGGAGTCATTAGGCCACTGTCAATCTGCAATAGAAACAGAAATGTATAATCAGTCAAGAAGTCACAGCAGTAACTTGCAAGGCTAAGGACAATGCTGATGGCATGGATGTTTTACCGTAAAGGGTTCTTCCGCAATTAAGATTGGTCCAATTTGAAATGAACGCCCTGAAGTCCTGCTCAAAAATAGAAGGAGAATTATGAGCATGTTTACCAAACAGCTAAACCTTCTTAGACAACTGAGTCTCAAACATGGCAGAACCTGTCCAAAGCTTAAGGTTATAGGCCATTTGGTACATTAAGGCGGACTAAGGGTTGTGAGAAATTAAAATTAATCGTCCCAGAATAATTTGCAGTTTTTGACATTTTGGTTTAGACCCCAAAAACTTAAGCTGTTAAGGAAACGACATTGCTAATCAAGGTAGCAATATTTAGTGCACTTCTATGGGACTTTCGTTTACTGAACCCAATGAGAAAAAAAAGATGAAACAAACATAACAAAACTTGCAGTCATGCAAACCTTGTCCAGTATTATCCAAACAATGAACCTAGAAAGATTTTACCATTTTCTCAATTCTTCGTATAACAAGTTTGTCATTCTGTCGTTACTTAGGTCAGAGGCATCAATATCTACAAGAGACAGCTTTTTGGCTGCAATCAAAGCCTCTTCTTTGTTTGGAACAATTATTGCCCCAAGGCGTCGTTGATCCTACATATATGAACGCCCACCACATACATAATCAGTATATCAACAATATAAGTGGGAGAACAAAAACAAACTGAAACTGATATTGGATTAACCTGGCCAATGACAACAATTTGTTGAATTAAACTACTTCTCAAGGCAGCTTCCTCAAGCTCTGCCGGTTCAATATTTTCCCCTAGTTGAAAAATGCCGACAAGCTCAGTGTTAAGGAAAAGGAAAAAGAATGAGATTAAAAAAAAAAAAAAACACAAAATCATATGAGTTGCATTTACGTTCATAAAGTAGACTTCAATCAAAGATAGAAACTTAAGAGTAAAAGATAGTTAAGAGGAACAAGAAAGTAAACACCTAAATATTTTTCTTGAGATCCAAATGTATAAATAAATAAGAACAGCCTGCTACTGGGTAGTGTCAGGCTCTAGCCTGCAATAATTTGTTCTTGTATAGAACATAGCTTAACCAGAAAAAATTAAAACATTTATGAAATAGAATAAGCTCAAGTTCACCATTACCATAAACACAAATGAATTTTAGAATGAGCAAAGTTCTCTGTGCACATAAATTCATATAGTTGAGATATCTGGAAAGATGCAAGTGAATACATATACCACCATAGCATGACTATCTATCTACCTATCTATCTCCATGAAATATAAACATGCAAGACTATTTGCGAAAAACTTAAGATTTGGCATTTAAGTTTAACAGAAATGATTACATTCAGCACTTAAATTTTCATACAATCTTCAATACTAATCATGGGATTTTTTTATACTTTTAGTTTCAAATTTTCTTTATTTTCAAGTAACTAGTAAGAAGATCCATGATAAATATGCAGAAGAAAATTAAGCTATTAGTATACCTGTTGAAAGAACTATAGTGTCCTTGGCACGTCCTTCAAGGACAACCACACCTCCACAACGACGACTTCGCCCTGTTGAATGGTGAGGAGCAATCCAGCCTATGTCTCCAGTGTTTAGCCAACCATCATCATCCAGAACGTGCTTTGTAGCTCCTGGATTCTAGTCCAAACATGAACAAAAAAGGTCACAAAACATATAATTAGGTAAGGGAAGAGAATGTTGAATTTGGATAGTACTAAAAAGCAAATTCAAACTGTAAGAATTAAGTTCAAAAGAAATTCGAAATATGAAGACAATAACTATGAGATTTCTCAAATATATTTCTCCACCCACATTCCTAACCCTATTTGCACTTCATGTATAACCACGAAGGTGTAGATTAAATTTAAGGACAATGGAAGTCTACATATAGACAAACAGGCATAGATATGTATATAGATACACACAAATACACATATATATATTGGTACACATGTAGGAATGTGAACAATAAAATTATTGATACCTTGTAGTATCCTTTCATCACTGGTGGCCCCCTAACTTTTAAAATGCCACTTAAACCAGGGGGGAGAACTTCACTAGTTTCAGAATCTACAACTTTGAACTCTATATGTCGAATTGGATGCCCAACTGAACCAACAACCTTTAAGAAAGCACACAAAAGAGAGAAAAGAAAAGTCTTTTAAGAATAGAACTAAAAGAAAAGTCTGAAATGTCTGAAGACATAATCCAGTGCCAACAATTTCAACAGACTTATACAACCACAAAGTAATCATTGTAAATTTCAAATACAATTGTAATAACCAAAAAAAGATAAAGTTGATATACGGAAACTGAGTAATAACTTTGCACTAGCTATAGGATAATTCTAGCAGTATGGGAAGTGATTGCTTGTTCATGGTATGACCAGTAATTTAAACAGAATGGCATCCTCATTTGTGAACTCTTTTATGTTTGTTATCGATTCTTCAGGTGAAGACAAACAAAAGTATATCAAGTGCAACTCAACAACACAAACTAACACTCCCCTTGTTGAGTAAGTCCACAGAACAAGGAAACCAAATTGGGCCCTACACATAATTTTAAATAATATTTCTTACATTACAGTTTGGTCGTCGAGCAGCAACAACAGGAGAAGTCTCTGTTAAGCCATATCCATTCAGCAGTTTCACGTCAATTGCCTGCAAGCATACAACCCTAAAATGATAGCTGTTATCCAAAACATCTATTGGGCAAGAAAAATATGAGTGAAAACCAAACCTCAAAAAATTTATCAACATGTGAAGGCAGACAACCTCCTCCACTGATGCCAGCCTGCAGGAAGCCACATATTTCCTTTCTAATCAACACCACAATATCTAGTTTTATCAATCAGATATGCTTAAAAAGATCAATAAAAGTAAAGAGAGAGTGCAGATTCCCTTCTGAAACAGAGTTACCTCTGCAAATGAGAAAACGAAATGTAAAAAGATTTCTTTTAGTGAAAGTAATCACTTCAAGAACTTTTTATCTGGCTTAATCTATGAAGGTAACCATGGAATACCACTTTACAAAAAGTCATGTTATAGTACAAAGAAGCTACAAATAACAACTGACATAAGATGACCTTTGATATTCCCAGAGCAGAGTGAATATTTCTATAAACTAGTTTCTTTCCCAACACATGCAAAGGCCATAGTAATGCAGCAATAACTCTTGCCCATAACCAATCTGATATTGAAACAAGATATGGTGGTTGCTTCTGGTTCCTCGTCAAACATGTCCCCTATAAACCAAATCGAAATCAGTCAATGCCATTAAGTTTGGCTCAACAGATTGATCATACGATTCAAAAAGATTCCATTAAAAAAAAAAAAAAAAAGAGCAATTGAATTGTTATAAAAGACCCATTTAACAGTTGGGTCTTGCATTTCAACGTTATTTGAATTAGTATATAGATTCCAACAAAGCTGGTGTTTCTCTTTGTGTGACCTCTTTGATGTCAAGGCATAATACGTTATTGGACCATAGTGGATGAACATGAGCATTGACCAACGATGTGTAGCCAAATCTATCAAAGATAATAGGTCCGTTGATGGCACCTTCCATTGGGGTATTTACAGAACCCTTTCCTATCTCCACAAACTAAGCTAAGTATGAAGGAGATAAATATAAGTGGGGTTACCTTGAGGGAACCCACAATCATTTACTTTGGGTACAGTGGTTTGACCAGCAGTAACGTTTTATTCTTTTACAACAATCTCTGTTTACTAAGTATCGACATATTTTAACTTTAAAAAAAACAACCACAAATACGAAGCAAAACACATGTCCCTGTTAATTACTAACAGGGAGCAATTCGACCATACAGAAAGGTATTAATTTAGTTGTCTTACAGCAATAAGACGCCATGAACTCATTAAAGAACAATGAAATAGTTACGTCATACCATGGCAGACTTATATCATATGTTATTAACTGATTTTTCCACAAAATAACAAATTATTAAAACAATCAGATTATCAGTAATTGACACGAAAATGAAATAGAAAAATAAACGTGGTGTATACTGAATGTTTGTTTGGAAATGAGAATAACAAATAACAAGACTTGTTAAAGAAGACTAAAATCTCAGATAATGAACCTCATAGATCCTCTTAAATTCCATGTATGCCAAACTGATCCTTATGAATGTAAGTGCAACAAACTTAAGAACTGTAGAGCTAGAAGAAATTTGTTTCTGAATCCCACTGCAAAGAGACAAAATAAAGAATTTAACATTAACAAAAACAAAGAAAAAAAAGGAATCTACTCTATCTCACCTAAACAAAGGTCTAGATATACCAGTAAACTATGCAGAGCATTCATCATTCCATCCTTATAATTACAGTACAACATTTCAGAATTGAGGAAATTTAAAAGAGATCTAAACAGACATCTCAGTTTAACATCTGAAGCTAATTTGATCTTTATTTGGCACATCCACCACATGATTTTAACCAGGCAATGGAAACTCAACCTTACCGGTAAAGAAATGAAAGGGGTTTCAACAGATAACCTTATATGAGCATCAACTTTAAACAAACATTATGAACCCAAGAAAAGATATACCTGTAAAGTGTCTCATACACTAAAGGAACCGAAATTACATAGTTTGGTTGATATTGCCGCAAATCATCCTATCACACAATAAAAGCACCAATCAATTTCAACTTATAAAATCATAACGAGACCTAAGTATTCCATTTCACACTAACAGATTTTCTTTTAATTCTTTTACAAAATCACCGCCAAATAATATAAAGTTAATATAGAAAGCAAGAATTGTTAAGGCAAGCCCTTAGAGTGTCTTGCCACTAAATTTTAGCTCTGAAATAGCATTTCCAAAAAATTGAATATACCAAAGAAAATAACATATTGCAAGAAAATCAGATGTAATAATACCTTCAATTTCCTCACATTTGTGTAAAACTGCTCAATGCCACACGTAAAAGCAAAGTACTCACAAGCTCGTTCATAGCAATGCCAAGGTGGGAGCATGCTAAGAAATTTGTCTCCACCTACAGCAGGTACAATGTCTGAGAGGTTCTTTATCTGGTAAAAAACAACAAAAATAGCCGCAATATGTGTCAAATATAATTTATTATGGCAAGTACTGGTTTCAATTATACCAAAAAGAAACTGGGGAAGGTGTTTCAAGATGCAGCAAATACTTGCCTAAAATGCAATACAAGTAAGAACAGTGGAAAACAAAAGAAATAGTTAATAGAACTGCCTCTTTCAACAATCATTGACATACAAACTCACATAATCATCCCGAAAAAATACAACTAAAAACAAAACAAAAGTACCCAAAATCTATCTCTATCATAGAACGTTCAAAGGTGGGGCCTACTATTTTACATATTATATCTTAGTCAAATATACACCCAAAATACCAACCTGATGCATCAGATTTCGATGGGTGAGGATGACTCCTTTTGGGTTGCCACTTGTTCCACTTGTATATACTAATGCAGCAACATCATCTGGTTTGATAGGTTCATGCAGACAGTACTGCTCTGCAATCAGAATATTTACATTAGAGGCTGCATACTGACCAACCATATCGTAGTCCATTTACAGAAACAATAGAATAATGTTTAGAAGATAACCAGTGGGATACAAGTCATTCCATGAAATAACTGTCTCTGTTTTCCAATTTCTAAGTGGCATGCCTTTCCATCAGAGGGTACTCTGTCGCCTAAATTTTTTGTAAACTTTATGGCATACCAGATGACTAATGCCAAAACTATAATCACAAGAGCCCCAAGGTTAACCCTTTAGGTGAATTTGTAATTCAACGAAAAAAGCTTACTACTTATCTGGGGCAGAGCAAAGACAAAGAAAAGAAAAAACACAAGAAACTGACCAAACAATCCAATCCAAGTTGTTTGGGGTCAGACTTGAAAGTTACAATTCTGTCAAGTTTGGGGTTTAAAAAACCAAAAAACCAACCCAATCCAATTCATAAACTTAGGTATTTTAATGAGGTGTTGTAATTTTTATGGGATTGCGTATTATGCTTTGCCTGCACTTAATTATTATGTCCCAGCCCTAAATCATGATTTATTTTGTCTAATATTGCATGCTTTGTGATAACAAGTAACACTGAAATTATGAAAAGGGCTTAATGGATAAAAGAAAAAGAAAGAGATGATTGGCGTACAAGCATCATCAGAATTAAGCACGGTAAAGGATTTAAATGTATTTCAAGGCAAAAAAGGAAATTACTAACAGAAACAGATGGATGACATACGTTTATCATCAGAATCAAGCATAATCTTACGACTATCTCGTCCCAAATCTAGAATCTCCTTGTAGTTAAAAATAGGAACCTTTCCTTCACTGACCAGGCTTGACTTCTCACCCCATAACAGAACAATAAATTTAATAGGCTTGGAATAGAATTCTTCTGAAAATCGATTTAACAATTCAGGACTGTCCACAGCAAGTGCAACACTGTTGTAGCAATGAAGTTAAACTCAAAATTATTCCATGGAGTCAGCAATGCTTTTGTAAATACATAAACTCATTCATTATAGTTCCATGTACTTTCATTGATCTCAACCAAATCCCACTACTAACTCCATAGAATGGGAAAGTTCAGATTAAGATACACAATGAATTCAAACAGATATGAACTATCTTATTCATTATATACATATATTATTCAAGAAACAAATTTGCACTCATTGACTCTCAAAAAGAGATCTGACGTGAAAGGAACCTACTAAAACAAGTTGCACTGAAAAAACAAATGGTGTAGAACAAAAATAAAAAATCAAGAATAGAATACATACAACATAATGCATAAATCATATATTTAGTAGACCTCGGTACTATACTTGAAATAAATAGAATTTTAAAGGGAGAAAACCTATCAGAATGATTGTATATTTGTGATAACTCTTCAACAGATGATCTCGAACCTCTTGCCACATTGATTGCTCCAGTTGCCATTATACCTAAATCAAAATTAATCATGACAGTAAGCTTTTACTCTCAGAGATGCATAAAGGAGATATATGAATAAATTGGCAGAGACACATAATATCATGTCCTAGCATATTAAAATTTTCTTTAATGAATTTGATCCTAGAATAGAACCAATCAGCTAAGTATTGTCCAAAGTATCATACAGAATTTTAAAAAAATTGTTTCAAGATTAATCTAAAAATAGGAAGTGCTTTTTTAGCCAAACACATGGGTTAAGTGATATTGTGATAGCCGCATGTCATACGAATATAGCATTATATTCCTCAACTTGTATTCTCGAACGATAAGAGTTTAGACCCAGCAGGTTCAAGTTTGTTCTATAAAACAGATACTAATCGCTTGCCATGTGGATGGCATGGATTGAAACAGCTGCATACTGGCCACAAAAATACAGTGAATGGTTGATACAAGGGAAGTGCAAAGTTTACAGTCCCTCTATTAGCAAAAGTTAAAAGATAGAACTAATTTCTTTAAAATTAATATGCACAACGATGTCAGGTGAGATGTTTGAGAAAAGATTATCTTAAGGATTTTCTGCTATATTTTGCTACATAGAGACTATGCACTTGACTTCCTGTCAAGCATGCTTTCAGTTCATATTCCAAGCAACAAACCTGAAGAGCAAAATGACTATATCAGAGCAATAGTGTGGCCATAGAGAAAATAAGCATACCACATCCTAAAGAAGTAATACAAGATGGCTATAAAGAATTGATTTAATGAAACATTTTTTTAAGCTACAATGTCAAATACCCTGATCCGCAACAAGCCAACGGCATGAATTATCAGCAAAAAGTGCAATTTTTTCTTCTGGCTTTACTCCAACAACTCTCAGCCCTTCAGAAAAATCCAAAATTTCCTGCTCAAGCTGCACAATTAAAGAAACAAAAGGACAGACACTCAATAGATCTGTAAAATGCTATACATGAAACTAGATTAAATGAAAAATAAAGTCAGAGTATGAGATCATAAAAAGTTTGCAAGAGTAAATTGATATAAACAACCAAGTTGATGGCCAAGTCAATGTTACAAAAAGTATACGTATGTCACTGATTGTTATTCATTTTTAATAGAAATTTATATTTACGATCAAAGAAAATTTATTAAAGTCAAAGAAAGAACAAGGAATCTTTGTCTGTTCAATGTACTCCCACTAGATCTACTAGTTACAAAACAGGAACCTTAATCATTGCATTAATAAATCCCTATATCCTGGTGAGTGGGTGACAAACAAAAAGAGCAAATAAGTCATGATAAAATAAGCACAAAAGAGATAATCAAGAACAAGAAAGGAAAATTAACCTCTTTATAAGTTAAATTTGAAGGTGGGTCATGGTATGGATCCACCAATGCGACACGGTCACCATATTTCTCAGCTGAAGATCTCCAAATGTCAGGAACTGCTCTCCACTCATCAGATACCGAAGCATCATTAGCATCTAGTAACACACTTTCTAGAAATGGGGAATATCTTCGTATCTGCATTTCCTCTGTCTGAAACAGGAGTTTCATTTAGTACAAATACATGAAAGTGCCCGCTAGCTGTATAACCATCTATATATCAGACATTCAAAGCCTTCTACAGTTAAGCGAAAACAAACAAAAACCTTATAACATATGCACAATGAGATCAATAAGACCAAAATAGTTGTATCCTTTTGAATATGGCATGATGGAGATAGATCATAGTCATGAAATTCCATGTATCTCACTTTTTGAAATTCTAGAGCACAACACTTACTGCCTCTATGAATGTGGAATACTTTAAAGCAATCCAGCAGAGGGATAAGAAAAACAGATCAAATAATCTAGACAGAGAGATGATAGCTCTAGAAAACTCTGGAATTAATACATATATCAAGTTCTACTTGCATTTTTGAAAAGAATCAATATAAGAACTTTAACAAAACCAAAGGTGACAAACACAGAACCTGATTGCCTAGTACGTTTAGTCAGAAGTACATTATATTCCTCAAAAACAAAAAATAATATCTTACACCTCATTTTAAAAGTCCAGAAATGTCAACTAAGCTCCTAATTCAGAATATTGATAGAATTGGAGACACACTAACATTAGATGCCAAAATACCAAACATAAAGTTGTATTTGTTGGCGAGTCCTTACTTAGTTAGGATTTTGGTTCCTTATTTAGTTAGAATTTTGGTTACTTACCAATTATTATTTAGTTCTATTGTAATAGAGATTTGTTTCCTATTGTAATTTAGATACATTTCCTTCTTTTTTTATGCTCATATTCTCATTCTTCTCCAATATGGAGGTATTTATACAAGTACAAAGATGTGTTAACTCTATATAAAATATGAAATATATCTAAATTACAATAGGAAATTAAAATAATAATTGGTAAGGAACCAAAATTCTAACTAAATAAGGAACCAAAATCCTAACTAGGACTCGCCAACAGTATTACAGCTAGACCAACCAAAATAACAAAATCAACTGCGAATGAAAAGGGTATTTAGAAATCACCTTTGATTGGCAAAACAGACGAAATCCACGATTGAGAGAAAACCCCCCTCGGCTTCCATAGCATTTTCTAAGAAAGATTTGTCTGCTTCTGAATTTATGGTTAGAACAGAGGAATTGGAGGGCATGCCCACAATCAAAAGAGTTTCTCAGAATGGAGTTGGGCGTTAAGAAAATGGTGGTGGCCATTTGATTGACCCAAGCAGAAGCAGAAACTGAAACTATGGAAACTGGGTTCATCTGAGCTCCTAATATAGCTTTGTCTATGCTTCCCTTTTCATATATGCACAGAAAGAGATGGAAAAGAAGACGACAAGCGAGAAAAACTAAAAGATGAAAGTAGTGATAGATGAGAGTAGTGATAATGTTTGTGAAAAGTACCGTGAGAGATTACAGGAAGTTGAAAGAGAAAACAAAAACTGCAGAAAATGAATGAGTACCAAGGACAACGTTTTTTCAGCTGAGTCGATGGAAGTTGTTGACGTCCGAACAAGAACGTGAAAGAGATAAAGGTTTTATATTTGATAATTTATGAAGAAGATGTAAATTGGCTATTAATTAAACATGAAGTCGTGTTTGTCTTACGCATGAGATGGAGAGGCTCTTTCATTTCTTTATAGCCAGGAGCTTAAACGGTCACTAAGAAACAAACAGAACGACTTTTCTTTTTATATAGATACCAGATAAGGGAAGTTTTTCCTGGTTTCCTTCTGCTGCGGTCGTTTTCTGAAGGGTCAAATTATATTTAGTCCCGCAAGAAATTAGTAGTTGTGTACGTGGTGAAAACCAAATATATTTCGGAATTTTGAGGTTCTATGTCAGAATTTATTTGGACTTGCTATCCAGCTTGCATTCCTAAAATTACCTATGTTCCTCTTTTACCAATTTTGCCATTCCTTAAGAAAACAAAAACGAATATAATAAGAGTACACAAGTTATTAGAATTTGTTTTCAAACAAAATTTTTTTCCATAATTTTCAATAGCTTTTCCTATACAATAACTACCAGTAATCTGACACATACAATAAGATATCGGGTCGAACCGGGTTGCCGACAACCAACGCTTCCTAAGCTAGGGAAGGTAGCCTTCTCCCTTCCACCCATCTTCTCCCTTCC